TATATATATTTAATACAACTAGAAGCAAATCTACTGAATTATGAAACAATGATTGTCTACCAAAATGTAGCTCAAATTAAATATGTTGCAGATTATTAAAATAATTTTATTTTCTCTGATGGAGCTGAAGGCCACTTTCACATAGTTAATTGATAATGCTGGGCTGCAAAAATTACAAAGCCTTAATGTTAATTTTCCATATCCCAGCCTGGTATCACCCATACATAAGGCTTTTAGTACAAGGATCCTTTTTTCAGAAAGAAGTACTTTTAGAGTGAGCATCATCCTCTATGGAGTACCTTCTATTCACCAACACAGTCCTGCAAACAATTCTAGATGCCTTTCAGTAATTGCAGGCAAGTCAATTAATTTTAAGTTAGGTACAAGCAAAAAGGTTTGCAGGAGCACAGTCTAATTTAGGAATTAATCTACAGATTACCTACAACAAAACAATCTGAAATAATGCTTAAACTCACTATTTTACTTGAATATATGCCTTATTATCTAGTAATAAATCATGAAAGATGAAGTATAAATATTGTCAGAATCATACAAAAGTTGTCTTATTCTAAGAAATCCTACTTCAAAATCGTACAGTATTTTAACCAACTGCAGTTGTCCTTCTGTATTGGCAATCCTGAACCAGCGTAGAAATTATGTATAGTGAGTTAACACCTTTGGGGAAAAATACTTATGTGCAGCAGGATCTAAAGATGATTTCTGGAGTTAATAGTGTTGCATTGCTTAACATAAGAAAGAAACTGAAGAGTCTTTTACTGTGATTCATCAGCAGCAAAAGAGAAGGGGAAGGAGACAAGCAAGGTGCTTACAGTCTTTGAAGCATATAGCATGTTTAATCTTGAAAATTAAATCTTGCATTAAAGACACTCCCAGATACCTCTGTAGTCTTCTTTCCAAAAATTCAATGTACAGATACTTTATTTAAATATCTCAGACTTTGTAATGGATCAGAAGAACAACTGCATGTCCTTGGAGCTGCTCTCCTTTCTGAGAGATGAATGGTGGGCGAGATTGCTTTACTGTAATTTCTCCATTTCCATGCTTCATTTCCTACATTTATCTGAGACTGGAGAAAACTCAGCATGTTCTGACAAGTCTAATACCACTAGGCAGTAAAATGGACCTGAATTTAGTGGAGATTTGAGCTCCAAAATAAATATAACACTTTATGTCAAACAATAATAAAAAAAGATAAATTCTCCTGTACAAATCAGAAGAGAGAATAAAAAATAGCAAATAGATAGCAACACCTTTTCTATACCTACATGGGCATCACAAAACTTTTCAACCATAAGAATAACCCTCTATAGTCCTCATTTTATGTGATTTGTAAACTACTTCAGTAAGTTGATGACAAACATTGTGGAATATCTTGGTACAAACAGTATTTTTTTGTAAAACTACCCAGAAAATTATAGAGATTATGAAATTATTATTAAATAGCTCTGAGAACAAACAAGGAAAAGCAAAAATATGATCTTCTGGGCTTTTGCTTTCATGTCTGTCCTTCTGCTTTTGGCCTAGCAAGCTGCATGCAACACTGTAAAGAAAATTTGCTTTAAAAACCTTGCATCTGTAAATATTATATATTTTTACATTGTATTCAATGATATATTGAATGATCATATTTGTAAATTTGTTTCTTATCTTTTTCACTTCTCTCATACCAGAGAGTTTGAATTCTTGATACAGCAATACTGCAAAGGCATCTACAGAGTATCATTGGCTCATTGAGGTCACAGTGCACAACTTACTCTTGAAAATGAGTTGCTTCTGCAGGTATCTGAGGGTTGCTATCTATTTGAACGCGGCTGAGCATTTCATTTTATCAAAAATGCCACCAAATGCTCATATTCTGTGTGGTCAGTGCAGTCCCTAGGACAAGTCTAATGAAGATATGTTCCACCAAGGCAAAAAAACCTAAAAGGTTAAAAATGGAGAAATATTTACAACTTTCTTCAGTCTGTAAGGTTGAGTTTTCGGTTTTAGTATTCTTCAGTGCATTTTCAGAGAAAGGTTCCAAGGCTATGAATATAAGCAGTCTGGTCCAGTCCCATACATATCCGCAAGCCTTTTAAAGCGAGGGCCCCAGTCACTGAGGTAATCGTAGTTCTGGTCAGAGTTTGAGCTGATTGAATCTAAAGAACTGAGTGACTCTGCCACTGAACCATTCCCCTCAAACGCGTATGTCTGCAGGGAGTCGTAGGGTGGCGCGCAGGGGTCCACATCAGCTTCTTTTAGTCTTTCCCAGATAAATTCCCTAAAAATGACATTATCTGGAATGCTTTTAAAAGTTGGTCTGCTCAAGAACTGAATCTCAGGTGTCACATCCCTTCTGGTCTTGGTGTCTCGGATGATGTTAAGGTTTCTCAAGGCTGCCATGTCAAAAGCCTCGGTGTCTTCTTCTCCACCACCCTCATCATCATACCTGACAATGTTCTCTCTGATATCTCTCTCTTCATCAAAAATGAGGGGCTCTTTTTTCCGTCTCCTCATGGTGACAATCAGCAAGACAAGAACTGGAACACAGAAAGACTGGAGTTTTAGCAATGCTAAAGTTTCCTCATGTTTTTTTCTAGTGGTGGAAGGACTCATTAATTTATATGGCAAAGACACAAAGAAATAGCAGGCAATTTATGCAGTTAGATTTGAAACCCAGCAGGTTCTGAAACAGTTTTTAAACCATAAGCTTTTTAGACATTAAAGACTCTATTTCCAAAACCATTCTGGATTAACGTCTTCATCTCTAATTCTATATCCAATTCTGTCTGCTAAACATAAATTTTAGGACTGGTTCATTTTGACTATTACAATCTCACAGACATGGAATAAAAAAGGACCTTTTCCTGAACCCTTAATTGCTGAAGTGATAAAGGCACATTCAAAAAGAAACTGAATCGAATTTAACAGCCATGGTTTGGGAAGTGACTGAATTGAAGTATATGGCCAATCTCTGATGAAAAAAAAAAAAAGAAAAAAGAAAAAAATCATAGGTTGGAGAACACTGACTTGTTAAGCAATGTGTAAAATAAGACTGATTTAGTTCATAGATTAAAAGTATCTCTATATAACACCTCACTTTCTTAAAAGTGCAAAGTGCTATACCTCAGGTTTATGAATAACACCCAATGAAGACTGCTAGGGCTGGAGTTTATTGGATCAGCCAGTGCTAGAAATGTACTTATCTTTTAATTTTAATTCTTAAATTTCTTTCAGCTTGAAAGCGAATACTAAACTGCAGTGACAGTCAAAGGAACTGGGAGAAACTAATTCAAGGCTTCCCTTGTTCAAATACAGTTTTGGTAGAGAAACACCACTGCTGACACACAAAATAGGGAATCAGTAAAATAAATATTGCACCCATCTGTAGGACATGATGAAGCGTGAATCATCATCTCAGAAAACGATTAATACTATATTGTAGCATCTGGATAACATTTGCTGAGTTAATGATAGTCCAAGAAAATAGCAGGAATTGCCATGATTGTAAAAATAACAGTATGTTGAAAAGTGTCATTCCACATTCAATTAATCTCTTCTGATTTTATATTTCTTTTTAACCTTAAAAATATGGAATATTCTATGGAAAATTCCAAATTGCATAATTGTAGGACTGCCATTTTTGAAAGCCCTTCTTTTTGCGGAGGATTTTTAAAAATCAATATCAGTCTTATCATGAAAAGACATAATTTAATATTAGGATCACTTGGTTAGAATAAACCAGTCATCCAGAGACTAGATGCAGAAAGCTATGCAATACATCTACAGGTCTTATGGTACTGTTTGGAAGTGGCTAAAGCATAAGATGACTTTCAAGGTGGACTTTCTGCAATTTTTTTTATTTACCATGAGCCATGGAGCCATGTATGCCTAAAAATAAAACTGGAACAAGTTCAATTTTTTGTCTAAAATTTTTGACAAATATATTAGGCAATATTTTTTCCCTTTTTTTCAGTAGCTACAAGGCACACATCTAATGATCCATCTACTAACATATGCCTTGTGATTCTGCATTACTGCAGCATCAGCATCACTCTTTCACTTTTTTGCCCATGGCATCTCTCTGATTCATCCTTTATGTATTGAATTCAGAAGCCACTAGTTTGGGGCATTTTACTTTGAACAATATTAACATAAGCAGTTTGACAATATAAAATTTTGACCTTTAAAGTGGCTTTTTGTGAAATTTCAAAACATTTTTATGTATGTATATTACAAATTCAGCTGTAAATTATACAAGAGAGGACATAAAATTGTCATCATAGAGACAACTATACTCCGCTCTTAATGTTTTTCCTTATTATAAAAGATATTTTAAAGTGAAAGACAAATTAGCTTGCTAACACTACAAATATACATTTAAGCCAAGATTGCTATTGACATAACTTTTTAATTATTATTTTTAATATTTACTGCCACCATTTTTATTGCAGTATAAGCAAGCGGCCAATCATTTCCTTTACTCAAGTGTAAATGAATTTTCACACCACTGTCTTGACAGACTTCATTTTGAAAGTTAAATATCTGCTCATAAGTGAAAATGAAATATGAAATTTAGCAGGCAGGCCTGCCTAAAGGAACAATAAAAATCTAAATACAATTAATGTTTTATATAGTAATCCTTGTACATCTCACTCTTGCTTGAAACCAATAAAAATATGGAGTCTTTCTAAAGGTTAAATATTTTAGCATTTAGATGGCTTTATGAGATTATTAATTTCTAGTCTTTTCAACAGCTATGAAAATTAAAGCTTAATCTCTAAATGAACAAAGCTCCAGCTGCACTGCAGGAACTGCAGAGTTGAATACAAGCCCAAACCAAATTTCACTGATCTAAATCAAGTGCAAATAGTTTTAAAGCTTATCCATTTCTCATGAAGTCATGGTGGGGTTTTTTTCCTACATTTATCACAAAAGCAGAGATCATTTCAGTAATTAGCGACTGGCTGAACATCTAGAAAACCTAATTTTTTGCTTTTTAGAGAATAAATAATACAGTGGAAAAGTTTTGGGGATACACACACTGCATATTGAGACCACTACTTTGGCTCCCTACTGGTACATCAAACTCATGCTAAGGAGATGAAATGGTAATACTCATTTCATATGTGATTTAGCAAGTAAATAAAACAATCAATATTAGAAGTAACAAATTATAAAGACCAAATTACCAGAACTGATAAAGACAGAGCTACACTAACATTTTAGTTCTGATTTACCTGAATTGTTAGAAATGTTGATTTTGTTTAACAGGTACAATAGCCAAGAGAAGATATCATTTGTACTTATATAAACTGTGACAATATGTAGTTTTATCCTTGTGTCAGCATAGTAATTACAATATCAGTACTTTCACTTCACCTATATCAGCCTTTAAACAAGCACCTTTAAATACAAGAGCAGATTGTTGCTTTACCATTTTCCAGTGTGCTTTATAGAATTATTATGAAATTTCCATTTTGGTACTATCTGGCAAAAAGTCATGTTTCGGTCACCTGAGCATATTTCTCTGTTTTAGTATTAATCTTTCCTTTTTTTACTCAAGGCAACTGCCACATAATTGTAAGGAAGCCACAAAAGCCTTGAGACAACCTGAGGGAGAAGACTACGTGCAAAGCTATACACTAAGGGACAGAGCTAAATCACAAGCATTATCATGCCATGTATACACTATACCCCTAAGCCTGGCATTTACTATAGCAATAAGCCACATCAGCTGCAAGCAAATCTCCGCACTGGTTTATGCCTTAGGTGTGTCATGATTCATAAAGCTGAAGACTGGAGATCCTAAACCATCTAAGAAGCACACTAATAACCTACTTAGTTATACCTTGAGGTTGCTAGTACAGTCAGATGAGATTTGGGGATTACAGAGGCGAAGACTCAGGAAACTTGCATTTAATTCCCGGTTAACAAGCTTCATATATAGCTGCTGCTTAAACAGTTTGGAATTATATTTGCAAAGTGACCATGGCCTTTAAATGTCCACACTGAGTAACCGTAATAGGCGCTATAACTTTCAGAAAATAGCTTCTGCATTGCATACTCAACTACCTTTTAAATAACTTAATTTGGATGCTCCCAAATTAATACAGTTATATATTTATCACTTTTAAAATGGCAAGAGCAAAAATCATGCATTCTACGTTTAGTCTATTTAGAGAATGAAATCCTTATTACTAGGAGTATTTCTTCTTGTTTATGAATCACACAATTACGGGTGCTGATTTAATTGGAGGTATTATGATAATAATAACAAGTTCCTTATCTTTCAGCTGAAAGAATAATAATTTAAATCTGTATTTTTTAGTTTAATCAATGTATTATTACTTTGTAAGCTCTAGTACCACACTAATAGGATGCTTTATTTAGTGTTTCTAAGAAAACAGGTGGTACTAATAGATTATATTTGGAAGTATGGAAGATAAAAATAATGAAAAAGCACTATGCCAATCTAGTTTTCCATTGTTTCAATATAAAGAATATCTTTAACCTCTCAAATATTATATGGGTTATCTACATCTGAACATTCTTTTTTGTGTGATTTTATGTACGCATTTCTGCTAAACACTTGTTACAAAAGCAATTATTGTGTCTGGAAGATGCTAACTGAAAAACAAATTACCTTAAATTAAATTACCATATAATTTTCAGGGGAGTTAAAAAACTCCTACTTTCATCTCTAAAAATTATGTACAGTCTAAAATACATACAAACTAACTTTTCATATGTTTTCTATAGAATTAATGTCAAGCTTTTTTTTCTTTTTCTTTAGAACAGCCTCACTGCAGAGTGAATAATTATAATGTTTATTTAAGTAATTAACAAAGTACTGGAAATTTCTTGTGGAATAGAATTTAGTATTTAATCTTCAATCAATATGAGGACAGAAGAAGATTTTGCTAAAATGTTTTTAACTTTTAAAAATTATCTTAGTTTGAAAAATAGACTATACCATGTTTTAAGCAGTCATTATGAATTAGAGTTATTTAATAACAGTTCCTTCTTAGCATCAGTAAAAACATTGCACTTATCTAAAATTGATTTCTTGCTTAACTAAAAATAATAATACTACAAAGTCCCACTGAGACAATCTAAGCCTTGGTCAAGACAAATGGTTATTTCTTAGACAAAGGGATGTATGAGTTAAGAATGAATATCAAAGTATATCATACTAACTTTAAGAAGATAAGAGCTTGTTGAGGATTCAAGATACTAGTGCCAGAATGCATGTATTCATGACATTTATTCAAATCTCATCCCTCCTCCGCTTTATAACTGGCATTCACATTGAGATGACATTGATGAATATGACTGGATTTACACTGCTTCTTAATCTTGGGTCAGAAAAAAAAAAAGAGCTGGTAGCCTGTCTCCTTTTTTCACTGACAAATTCCTATGGAGAAAGTTGCATCCATTGGACCAAGCCCTGGAACCACTTGCCAAAAGCTGAAGATTATTTTTTTATGCTGTGCTAGTGGATCTACAGGATTTTTTCTTGGGAATGGATATGAAAAGAAAAACAGAAAAAGGAGAAAGACAATTCCTAGCAGTACTACCATTCAGCTCATGCCAGAAAATGTCTTCTAGGAACGAATGAGAGAAGAAAGACTCTGGGATAAGACAAGCAACAGCACTTGACTGGGTTTTCATTGCGCAGCAGTGATGCTTAGGAATCTCTTCCTTGTGAAGACTAGCACCTGGCTGGGAACAAAAGAGCAGCAGGAGACAGTACCAAAATGCAGGACTCCAAGCCAGGGTTAGCATACAAATTCAGCGTAAACCATGCCTGAAGCTTTGAACTGTACTTAAAAGGAGCAGTTTAGATTGGAAGTGATGAAAACTCAGGCTATTTGATTTATTGTTTTCATTTGAGCCCTGGTGTATTGAGTAGAATAAGCAAGTTATTGCCTGGTAACATGCTGTGTCTCCACTGGATGCTCTTCTTTAAGATATATGGCTCCTATTTAAGAGAAGCTTATGCCCAGGCCACACTGCCTTGTATCAACAGTAGATTCTTATGTATTCTTCAGAAACTCTCTTTTATATCTAACAGAAATGGTGACATTTCAATATAGGATTAAGTGAATTGCTATTGTTACAGAGCTCTTCTTCTTAAGTACATCAGACCAAAGTTTTAAATGGGTGGTTTTCCACTGATGTCAATGCCAATTGGCATGAAAGAAGGACATAACATTCTGTATAGTTTTGAATTCTAGCATTTAGCTTCATGTCCGAATAAAGTTCATCTGGGTGTATAAATGGCCTAGAAATGTGTCTAGGAAAATGGTGTATAAAAAGCAGTTAATTAAAACTTTTGGCAATCATTCCCTTCCATTTTTTCTTAATCCTATACCTAATTATGTGTTGAATGAGTTAAAAAAATCCAATGTTGTTAGGTTTTTTCTTGTCATAAAGATGGAAAACTCTGGAAATGTCACCTCCTATGCAGGAGCAATAGGTTGGGTTCATTGCAGAGGCAGTGATTTTTCTTGCTCTGTAACAACAATGCAAGAAGATTTCCTTTTCTGAGTCCTTTAGAAATGTTTGTAGTAGATGGGGCATTTCCTTCTTATGGTTTACAGTGAGGTGAATCAAAATCAGTAAGAAGAGAAATCTATACATAGTTGAAATACTGCCATGAAAGGAAGCATGGACAAAAGTCTCTTGGCTTGACATATTCAAATCACTTAGATGACACTGACAGATAAATCACCACTGGGATTATACCAATCTCAGGAGACTATGGTCCCTCCCTTTCCCTTAGAGTGGGAACAGAAAAATCTTTCCACTGATAGCAACACTCCAGAAAATTCTTGTGTGCTGAATCAGTACCCTTGTTAACATGTGATGTTGAAGTACACACTTGGAGTACTGTGTCAGAACTTGAGTACTGTGTTCAATTTTTGTCCCCGCTATGCAAAAAACATGCAGACAGACTGGAAAGGGTCCAGAGGAGGGCCACAAAGATGACCAGAGGACTGGAAGACCTGTCGTATGAAGAAAGGCTGAGTAAACTGGGCCTGTTCAGCCTTGGGAAGAGAAGGCTTAGGAGGGACCTTATCACCATGTACCAGCACCTAAAGGGTGACTACCACAAGTTGTTTCTGGGAAGATTCCAATTGAACTCCAGAATAAATTTTTTTTACCATGAGATCAATCAGACATTGGAACAATCTCCCAGGGAAAGTGGTAAATTCTCCTACATTGGTCAGTTTTAAGAGTCAGCTTGACAGGGTGCTGACTCACCTCATTTTAACTATACTTTTACCTTGAGAGATTGGACTAGATGATCCTTGTGGTACCTTCCAACTTGGTATTCTATGATTCTATAATTCAATGACGTGATCTGTATAACAGTAAGAAAAACTGCATTTTTGTTCACTTGCACCTTTCATCTTTATTTCTCGATTTCAGCCTTTACTATTACCAGGTAGTCACTTTGTTTAAGGACTAGGCATGAAATGACAAATGCTCAAACTGGATATTCACACTGTTTCACTGTTTTCCACTGTCTTTTATCTAGTTGCAGTTTCACTGCACAACATGAAATCCAACTGTGTGCTACCAGTTGCAGAAGTAACGAAAGATCATGCTGTAGAAGATGTTAAATTAAATATGATGATTCCTATTAGTAAATCACACATGTTTTATTTTCTGAATGTCCTTTCTTCTATGCAAATCAATAAATGTTTAAAAACAGTTTTATCTCTGAAAAAGGGACATAGCCTGATACTGGTTATATAGTGAGTATGATAAACCAAATACTTCCATAAACTGAATTGTCTATCTCTTAAATATTACATTTGATGCAAGTGATCTTTTTTTCTATTATTATTATTTCATACATTCACCTGGAGGCAGCTTGACATAAAAACAAATCATCCACACTAGAAAATCCCAAACTAAAGTTTTTGTGTGGCTCATGATCATAGAATCATAGAATGTATTGGGTTGGAAGGGACCTTTAAAGATCATCTGGTCCAACCCCCTGCAGTAAGCAGGGACAATGTTACTAGATCAGGTTGCTCAGAACCCCATCATGCCTGACCTTGAATATCTTCTGGGATGTGGCCTCTACCACCAATCTGGGCAACCTGTCCCAGTGATCTATCACCATCATATTGAAAAACTTTTTCCTAATATCCAACCTAAATCTACCCTTTTCTAGTTTAAAATCATTACCCCTTGTCCTGTTGCTACATGCTCTAGTGAACAGCTCTTCCTCAGATTTCATACAGGCACCTTTCAGGTATTAGAAAGTCGCTATAAGGTCCCCCTGGAGCCTTCTCTTCTCCAGGCTGAACAACCTCAACTCTCTCAGCCTGTCTTCACAGGAGAGGTGCTCCAGCCCTTTGATCATCTTTGTGGCCCTCCTCTGGACCAACTCCAGCACTTCAGTGTCCTTTTTGTGTTGGGGGCTCCAAAGCTGGACACAGTACTCCAGATGAGGTCTCACCAGAGCAGAGTAGAGGGGCAGAATCACCTTGATCTGCTGGCCACACTTCTTTTGATGCAGCCCAGGATGTGGTTGGCCTTCTGGGCTGCAGATGCACATTGGTGGCTCATGTTCAACTTCACATCTACTAGTACCCCCAAGTCCTTCTCCTTCACTTCCTATGCAGTTCCATCTTGCCCTTTAGTTTGGCCAGCAGGTCTCGACTCATCCATGCTGGTCTCCCGCCTTCCCTGCCTGATTTTCTACACTTGAAAAATTTCCTAAGCTTGATAAAAAATGTTGTTCTGCCCAGAATGTTGGGTGTCCCTGTTTACAGAAATTGAGGCTGGATTTGGGGTTGGGGGAGTGTTGAAGCTTGTATCATACATATGTATGTATGTACGTACATACATACATGTATGTACATACATTTTTTGCTAATATACTTTGAATGGAAAGTAAGGGTAACAGAAAGAATACGTACCTAGCAGCGTCAAGACACAAGCCAATATTGCTATCAGGGCTCCAGTGCTAAGTCCTGCAGGCAAGATATATGCTTCTGCATTGCATGTCTGAGCAATACCATCTGCATCACAATCACAGACTCTGATCGTGAGGGTATTAGTACTACTAAGTGAAGGTGATCCACTGTCCACAATGAATATTGGCAAGTAGAAGACAGACTGTTCCTGTCTTCGGAATCCATTTCTTCTGGTTAATATTGTCGCAGTGTTATCTAGTTAAATGAATAAATATATAAATATAAAATACATGACCTTTCTAAAACAGAAGTCTATAAATAATACAGTCTTTCATTTAAAATATTCATGTATATTATTACAAAAAAACCACATGTATATTATTATAAGTTTATCCTTCCTGGTGATGTATTTTGTTAAGCTACCGAGATAGAATCAACTGAAAAATTATATTAAACTAAACAAAAATATCTCTATTTTCCATGAAAGACTGTTTCAAAATTGCAGAGGTCTATTTGATTTTAGTTAAGCCCACAGTTCCACAGTCTTGATAGAGGAGATCAATATAAAAAAGAAAAAAATCACCCTTCAGTGATCAGATTAAGTAACTATATACGTGTTTCAGGTCTACTTTCCAAGGATCTATTTAAATTATTTACAGATATAGATATAATATTAATGTCAGAGATCAACTTATTCATATGAGAATAAGCTCTGAAGGCCAATGAAATATTTTTGAATGAAAAAAATAAAGACATGCCCTTTTTGTCAGTCTCATCCGAGAGTCAAGATAACTAATATAATCAATCTAAAATGTGTCGTTCGATGCTGCTCAGAGTTGCATGACTGAAAAGTCCATGTGTTCCAGAAAATATGTGCAAAACTCACTGTGTTCAATACAGGTTGACATCTCCTGAGAGGTAGGGAATTACATCGCCTAGAATGTATAGAAAAGGTCGGTCGGTTGGGCTATCTATCTACTTTTCTAGAGAGAAATAAATATATTGATACTCCTGTAAAGTGATCTTATTGTGTCATCTACTTTGACCTGTCTGGCAAAATATGCAAGCAGTTCTCCATATAGCATCATATGAGATATGCATAAAATTAACTAACATCAAAAGTGGCAACTGCTGCTGTGTCTTGTAACTCCATTGATTTTACTGGCATTGCAAAAGTCTTATTATTCTTGACAAATTATATGTTCTCTGGAAGAGGGCTTGTCTTTTCATTAAATACTTTACAGCACTTGTAACAATGTCAGATTTCTAAAGAGAGTCTTATTTTAGTGCATTTTTATTATTTTGCTCATTTTTACTATTACAGTCTTCAGTTCCAAACTGCAAGCTGCACTTATGAAGAAAACTAAGCATGTCAGTATCTACATGCAGGGTAAGGCAATAAACAGCTGTGTGAGAGAACTTTATTAGGTCATATTTTATACTTAGTGAATGTTGTTTAAAGTCTGTCTGTACAAACAGTATCCCTTAGTCTACCATATGTCTGTTTTTCTTGTTTTATTACTAAGGATGACTTCACAGCTCTGGATCCATAAAAGAGCAATGCAAGAGTAGCATAGCATCTATTTAGTTCTATTTGCTTCAGCTAATAGCTAAACTGACTGATACATGCCCAGCTACTGTACTATGCAGTGCAACTAATGAGAACACTAATTAGAAACATGTTCTCAGCTATTTTAACTAACAGAAATGTGATGTCAGTGGGAGTCTTTGTACAAGTCTTTGGGGAAGTAGTCATAAGAAGTCTGTGCAAATGTTGTAAGCAGCTTCCATTATCAGAAGCATTCTTCAATAAGTGGTATAATGACCAAAAGTATGTGTTTTTCTAGTAAAAAAATGAAACAAACAAACTCTTGATTTACTGTGCACTCATTTTTTATGCCCTGAGTTCTATTAATAAAACATGAATTCCTGTACATTTTTCAGTCACTGCCCCAAGGTAAAATCTAATTTAGATAAAAACCTATAAATACAAGGAAAATTTTGAGAAATGTGACTTCTGGGAAAAAAAAAATAAAGAAAAAAGAGAAAAAAAAGAAAAAAGGGGGAAAAAAAAGATTTGAAGCTGCTCTGTTTGGCTCAAGGCTTTAAATTATTCAAACAACAGCTTAATTCCTTTTACAAATAATCTACAGATAAAATTATTTTGCAGGCTGATTGTAGTTTAATTTATGTCCTTACCAGAATAAAAGTTTATGTAGGTCATAGTTGGCAGGATATATTCAAAATTAAAGGTGTTAGTGGTGGATATTTACCTAGACATAATGTCCTTACCTTTGTTGTCCTGCAGTGTAAAATTGTGGTTATTTGCTGCCTCTGCTGTTAAACTGAAGTAGAACTGATGGCCATTTGGTGGGTCATCTTTATCAATTGCACTGATTTTCTGGATCACCTGTTTTGACATACATCAAGCTTTGATTGTTTGGAATGGTAAAGAGCATAAATATGTGTATATTGTATAACCCCTCTATCACCCATCAAAGTATCAACCCTCTCTTGGCTTTCTAATCTCCTAAGCATGTACAGACACTATTAAAACTAACATTTGACTCAACTCTTTAATTGCTTTGTACCAAATTTATTGGCCAAAAGCAATGATCTGCAGAGCCTGTGAGAAAGTTAGGTCCTGTCATTCATCAGGGCTTGGTGTATAAACTGCATAGCAGTGCAAGAAGTTTATCTTCTGGATGGCCCTTAATGGTAGTTATCAGTGGCTAAAATCAATATAAACTTTTGCAAGGAGAAGATTATGCTTCTGAGCATTTTAATCAAAATCCTTTTTATTTTAATATAATGAAAGGTAAAAAACCAAGTCATAAGCATATAAATATTTTCCAAGATTTTTTTTAATATTACAATTATTTTTCCAGTTTTATTTGCTATAATTCTGTCAAAATCTGCCTCTGAAAAAAGGTGTCACCATTGCCTAAAATCCATCATGAATGAATATTCAGAGATAACAGTTCTAACTAGATCACAGGGTAAACAAATAGGTACTCCAATAAAAGCACACATATTCTGTGCTTCTAATGGACACAAGTTAATAATCTTACTGTTTTCTGTTAAGTATTTAACTTACGCTGTGACTTTGACATGTGCAATAAACAATATCTGTCACAAAAAGGACACTAGTCTGAAAAAAACCACAATATTGCAAAGTTTCCCAGGTAATACGTGGGATCTATGTGGGTGAAACACTTACTAGTTTTCTGGGAGGGAAAAGAGAGAATGAGAAAATATATATATTTTCTGAGGTCTTACAAAGTAGAGAGGAAAAGTCCAAATATGAGAGACACAACAGTAGTTGTATAACCTATCCAAGGATAAACAGATACTTTCAGTTGAGCCTCTGACTACTTTGAAGACATTTGAGGAGTTAAAAACACTGAGGAATATGGTAGAAATACATTTTCCTTCTGAAGCTGTCGTCTTATGATCCATACCTTCCTAAGGGAAATAAAAGTATGTACTCATTTCAGGAATGGCAGGCTTTTAGTCTCAGAATAATCTCTGTGTTATGACTTCCCACATCCCAGCAAAATCAGAAGTATGCATTCCTAATGCTATCCAAAATCAGGTGAGTTTAGTAAAATTTGTCAGTTATATTAGTAAGGAAGCCAAAGATTTTAACAGTGCCTTCAACCATTATTTTTTACACCTCAATCTTTCTCTTCAGATGTATGGTGAAAATATTAAGGTTTGATTAAAATTTGCTTATGCTGCACAACAAATCATAATTTTTACTGGCATAAGCTGATTGTATTTTATCTTAAAGCTGGCAGTCTTTCATAATGAATGGTTGCATATCTGATTAGAATAAACATAAAAAAACCTATCAAACCATACCTGACCAGGTTGAGCATTTTCACAGACAGTTGTCTCATACTCCATAGCAAACTCAGGGGCATTGTCATTGATGTCAAGGATAGTGATGGCTACATAGCCTCTCCCAATCTGTGCTGGATTCTCTATAGGAAAAGAAGCGAACAAACTTGTCAAGAAGAGCTCCTCGCAGGTTATTCTTTGGGTCAGTATGCTTTTCATTTGTATTCTTATTTTGCATACACATGTCAATTCAATTATAGTTCCTCCTAGAGAGACAAAGGAAGCTCTCCAGATCTTCTGGACCTTGTGGAAACAATGTTTATGTTTTCCAGCTGCTTCAATAAACCTAAGATTTTACTCTCAGGGGTAAACTGAAAATCTAATTCAGTAATCACAGTATTGAATCACATAATATAGAAGGATAAGAGCAAGATGATGTAAAACCATGGCCAAGGGGTATAGCTAGCCAGAACAGCACTATTCATATCAGGAGCAGCATGTTTATTATGGGTTAAATAAATTTTTGTTGCAATTCAGATTGATCAGGCTACTAAGAAGTTAAAACCAGAGTTCCATCAGCTATGTATAACTTATATATCTATGTATAATTTGCATACAATCGTCAGCTAAGTATAACTCATTCAGCTATGTATAATTTGTATAGCTGTGTATAAAAAGAGAAAGCTGTATTTGCAAGCAAATCCCAAAGTATTTAAAGTGCACACATAACTAAGTATTTCAACACTCTCATTAATCTGTTGGACACTTTAAGTATGAATCACATTCTTAAACTGTTGCAAATCTCTAGCTAGCTAAAACATTAATCTGTTCAGGGTCCAATGTCATCATTTAATCTTAATCAGTAGATATTTTTGGACTCACCAGAACAGACATTAGTGTGTGCTATACTTATTTTGCTAGATAACACTTCTCTTTTGGCACAGGGAAAAGAGAAATTAAATTATTTTTTCACCACAAGTAGTGATATCCATAACAGAGCAGGTCAAAATGGTGTACCAACCTTCAAATAGGTATCTATCTTTTTATAGAGTACTGCAACCACATTTTGGTAAATATTGTAAGTAATTAAAGCAACGCTTCCAAATGTAGATCACAAAGTGTTTTGGTTTGGTTTGGTTTTATTCAACATGGGAAATACCAGAGGAGTAAGCAATTTTGATACCAACTTTTTTCTCTGTTGATCTAAGATTATTGAAAACCAAGCAGGTAATGAACATATATTAAAGCACTGTAGGGTGCTCCTTGTGCTCCTAGAGCTCCTAGACTCTCACATGTGTCAGGTATGCCCCTTGGCTACCCTGTCAGTTTTGTTACTACAAATTTCTGGTTTCAGTGCTGGCCTCCTAGACCAAAATTCTACTCCTGAGAACACAAGACAAATTTGTACTGACACTAAATGATAAACGTTGGCTTTCAGGTTAAACATTAAATTAACCTCACTGAAAGCAAGAAGTGAAGATTTTTAAAATAGCAGTCCAGAGTACTTATAACTCTTTTATTATCACAGCTCACCAGAGTAGTAATAAGGGTGAAATTTGAAGAAATAATTTCTTCAAATATAAAGGCAAAAATATATAATTTCACAGAATGTATTCAGAGCTAAACAAGTTTAGGCTTAAACTTGCATTAACAGAATTCTTCTTGTATGTGCTTGAAGGGTCTGATTCTTCAACACTTTTCATCTTACACCAGAAAAGATGCAAAAGACAAAATATCCTTAGAGGCAGAAAAGTGAAACCACACAAGCATTCATATCCTGTTTTCTTTATAACTTTTAAGAATACTGTAGATGACCAACAGCAACCAACTCTGAGTGCCATCACTAAATGGGCTAACTGCTCTCCTCTATACTCCATATCACTTTTCCTCTACTGATACATGGCCTGAGACTGCTGACTTAACATTTCATCATCCTTTGCACTTGTTTTTTAGAACTCAAAACTACACAAGGTGTGAGGCAAAGGAAAGAGCAAATACTTAATCAGTTATATTTCTTCTTTTTTTCTTCTTATATTTTATCACACAGGTTTCTTTTACATTAAGAATTTATTTTTATCTGTCTTAGCTTAAACTGTCATAATTTCTCTCAATGCAGCTGATCAGAGCCAAGCCTGAAGTTTTACACATAAAGAGCCAATAAAATCTTTAAATTGTTACTTACGACTCTCTATAGCCAAAACTGTGATGTTATGAACAGCATTAGTTTCCCTGTCCAAAGGTTTGGCAGTTGTAATGACTCCACTGTTGGCATCAATATTGAAATACCTCTCCAGGTCTGTGTTTCGATCTATTGAGTACCTAGGTGAAGGATGAAATAAAACTTTTGATTTATGTTCAATTGCAGCTTGTAAAAATATTTCATCGATTTCTTATTGGAGAGAAAGTGTTCCTACTGTTTCCCATTTTGAGCTTTGTTTTGTCCAGTTTCTCTGAGGTGTTGAGAGAAGCAAAGCCATATGCAAAGTCAAGAGCAACCTGTGTTGACAGTGATGGTTCTGTTCCCACAGTACCCTCTTAAGTGAGGGTACAGTTGTTCCCCTCTCTTTTCTTTCTTCCTCTCTGCTGTAAGGCAAACTTTCATTTAGTCATAGAATAGCATCCTCCTGAACCTCAGCTAAGGAGAAGACGAGTTGGAAGTTTGGTATATGGCTGCACCAGCTGGGCGCTGCTCTCATAGGGGCTGGTAGTCTGAGCACAGAGTTTTATATGACCAGTAGAAGAGCCCCTGAGTAATTCAGAGCTGCAGGGGCAAGCGAAAATAAGAACAAGTATGCACTTCTTAGCACTTCACAACACTCAGGATGAATTAAAATGTCTGCATCAAACCAAGTGTGATCATTACAATTACTGTCACACTAATGATATATTAGATTATTGATACAACATTAACCAAATCAATGTGGAAGGGAAGAACTATGGAAGATAGTTAAAAACGGAACTTCCCAGGTATAATGATCTTATGACACAATTTGTTTGTTCTGTGTTGTAATATATCAGCTTCCACTTTGTTGTATTACTATGTTTATCCCTTTTGGCTGCAAAATTTTGGGGCAGACATGTAAAATAATTAGAATTTTTTTACAGTTTTGTGTCACAGTGAGAGAGAGAATGCATTAAAGAGTTCTAACAACAGAAGTAACAGCAGTTTTAATGGATTAAGGCACTTCCTCTTTCCCCTTTTTTTTCCACTTTATGTTAACTGTAGTTCATTTTTTTTACTTTATTTCATGCCAGCACTGTTGTTTATTTGGTCAGCAGTGCACTTCAGCTGTTCTGTGGTTGGCAAGCTTCCCCATGAGACTATGCCTGACACCTCTGCTATGTAGTCAGTCTTGGCAGGCCCCATAGTTGGGATTCAGTCTCCTGGCAGGCCTTAGATTTCCCAATTATTAACACTATCAGAATGTAATTTGAAGACCTAGATACCAAGACAGAAAGACAAGGGAAGGAAGGGAAGGAAGGGAAGGAAGGGAGGGAGGAAGGGAGGGAGGGAGGAAGGGAGGAAAGGAGGAAGGGAGGAAGGGAGGAAGCAAGCAAGGAAGGAAGGAAGGAAGGAGGAAGGAAGGAAAAGAACAAGAAAGAAAATGAATTATGAAACAAGAAAAACCATTTTTATGCATAAGAAGCAAGTAGTTTCTGTTAACTTATTTACAAGCATCATATCCATATTCAAATTCTAAAAAAAAATATTTTAAGTACTTTTAATCCTTTAATTCCTTGCAGCCATTAATACTTTAAAATCTTTGAGCTTCAGGAGTTTTAAATCCTTTATTTAAGCTAGTTCAAACTTCAATAGTTCTCAGGTCCATATATAAATAAGATAACCACCTATTTTCAAACTATTTATTATTTCCCCCCTGTGCCAGTATTGTCAAGGTTTTAATTGTGTCTGATCTTGTAATTTACAATTTTCAATTGTAACAAATCTAATTTTTAATTTATATCAATATAATCCAATGTTTGGAATTTGGAATACTTATTTATAGATTAATAATTTAAACTTCTTAAATAGATCATGAAAAGTATTATACACTAATGCTCCTTAACACATTCCAATTTTAGGTGAATCTGGCTCTGATGTACATCATAGCAGATGCAGGACAGCTTTAAATTATATGATTTGTCAGTACCCCCAGTAATGTTCATAGCAGGTTCACAAGCATATAGATAAACCCTGACGATTTCTCTTTTTTCATTAACCTCAAATTCCAAACAACTTTGAAGCATAAGAAATCATCAAGATGTTTTTTAAGCTGGTGATATAACTATTTTTATGCTGGAATTGTAAAAATTAACCAGATCAAGGCCAATAAACTCATCCTTATATAAATATATAAGGAGTCAAAAATATCCTGAGCATGGACTGCATTTATCGAGTTAGATTTAATCTTACACTACATGATTCTGCTAAACCAGATATTACACACCAGATGCTAACATCAGTGCCAAAAAACACTGCCACAGCAAAGAAAAAGATCAGAAAAGATAAATTTCAGAAGTAAATTCCTGCCAACCATCCATCTAGGACCTGTTTATACATGATAGGAATCAGCTATTTTGAATATGTCACAAATACATAATGAACGAGAGAGGGAGAACACTTTTGCCACCTCTAGGAATGAAACATATGCTTTATTTTTACAACTTAAGATTGCTGCCTTAGAAATTACAGACCTACACTAAAGTCCCAAGTTCATCTTAAATGCACAATAGTAAAAGTTTACAATCACCAAGAAGAGTGATATCCAAACAAATTCTGTACGTGTGACATTCTAGTCTATGTATGCCCTAAATGAACAATAATAAAAAATGAAACTTAGTACTAACTTTTAATTCTGTGTGTGCCTTCTCCTGCAGATGTTTAATTTCACAAAATTCCTGAGTGAGAAGTATTACTCTCTAGATACTTTGCAAGTTCCCTTGACAATTACTATTACTACTCTGCATAAGAAAAATAACAAGTAATTCATTACTGCTTTAACTTAGGTGTTGAGTCTTTATCCTTGAGCATTGACCTTAGATACAGGCAAACATAAGATCAATACTTTGTGTTGTCTTATGGTTTCTTTATAATTCTGGATATTAGGTTGTAGAAGACTTGCAGGTTCTTCATACACTGAAGACAGAGGTTCTTGACAGTTTCAGTGTTCGTATCTCTTCCCATTCAAATGGAAGGTATTTGTCTGCAGCAGAATTTGCAGAAGCCAAGATTATTGGCTTTAACCATCCTGAGTAGGAGAGGACATGTCTTGTCCTATCCATTTCTCTCACATAAAGAGTTTTTTCCAATGTTTTTTTCTGTGGAACCTCAACTCTGATTTATCATGCAAAAGTCTATGTGCTATTACATTCTTGTACATAGTGCATGCAGAACATGAATCATTATGCACTCACACACACAGACAGACATATGTATGTATACTATATATTTTTTTCCTGGCTGATTTAAGAGAACATAACTTGCTACAAATAATAACAGATTCTTCCTAAACTTAGAGAAATAAGTATGAGTAATATGTTGAGGTTTTTTTCTTTGGAATACTGAAATTATATTTTTTCTTCTCTTCTCTGTTTTACAGAGATTTAAATACATTTTTTCAAAGGTTCTGTAGTTTAGGAGTAGAAAAGTCAAAATATGCAAACTGTTAGAACATCTCAATCTCCCTCTGCAAGGGAAAAAACTAATTTACTGTTTCCAGTGTAACCAAAGACCCTCACACAACAAAATGAACATCATCAATACAAAGGCTAAACTAATAAACACTTAAGACATCTTATAATTACCTGACAGGACTATTTGAGGCATCTGGATCATGAGCTGCTACAGTTCCAATGATAGTGCCGACCTTTGCTGCTTCAGACACCACCATGGAGTACAAACGTGAAGTGAACACAGGTGGTTCATCAACATCTTCTATAATTATCTTCACTGTTGTCATGTCACTGAAGGGTCCTAGACTCAGGAAGCGAGGGTCAACATGCATATTCGCTGCTTCTATCCTCAGGGTATAGCTTGTCTTAGCTTCAAAATCCAGTTCCTATACAGGTAAAATTATTTGGAAATTTTATTACCCAGTGATCTTGCCATAAAACTGTTTCAGTTTGCAACAGTCAGTCGCAAAGTACAAAATGAACTTTGTCATTTGTATCCAACCAGCACTATTGATTGGCAGAGCACAGCTGATGCTTCATTTTTTAGCTTTCTCAAAAGACTATCTGCAGTGTCCTGCTAGTGAATATTGCCCAATGACTTTAATGGTAAAGGTAGCTCTACCCTGTGCATGAAACGAGAATTCTCTGAGTTAATAGGAAAAAAAATCCTATGACTTCTGTCAGAACCAAATTCTGTCCCATTATTTCATCACTGTGAATGAATACTTCTTTTCATTTTATTTATATCTTCTCTAAGGCAGTGTCAAAACCAATATGCAGTACTACCCAGAAATAAGAACTCAATACAATATTAACTTGTGAAAATACCTCATTCAGAAAATTGTGGTTACTTGGGGTTTTTTTTTGCATAGTGTTGGGATTGCCTAATCAATTATTATTGCAAGCTCTGTATAAATTTGTGTAGGAAACGTGGCAATTTGTTAAACTACATTCTATATATGACAATATTTTGTACTGAGATGCAGTCTGAAGATTATTTTGGTTTCTTCTGCTTATTAAACAAAATGCACATTATTTTTTCCTACTTTCAGTCTTTCATTTTCTTTAATGAAAGCATAGGTTCTTTTTGGAATACATACTGCATTACAACTAAAAATTATCCCCCACAAGTAACAGAATATCTGTGATCTGGAGGACAGCCCAGTAAATAAAAATATTTTGGAGGCAAAACAGCATCTTACATCACAGGAAATAATTGAAAGAAAGCATCATGTTAATATTAGCACCATTTATCCTATGTCTATAGTTTTAGTTTGCCAACTTGTACCAAATGCCCAGCTGACTATTTCTTTGCAATTCCAAGTTTAATCACTAAAAACAGCAATAATAGACCAAAGAATTTCTAAAACTGCAGTCTGGTTACTCAACTATCTTTTTAAACTATAATACCAAGTGTATAAAACAGATTAAAAAAGATTTTCTGCAGTTCTGATTCTGAATACATCACAGAGATCTGAAAACTGCTTGCAAAATAATCTGACAGCATCTGCAAAACATTCCTGTACTCACTCAGAGGAGCAGCAGAGGTAAACCACACATCTGTTGACCTACAAATGCAAGGGTCTAAGTTCTCCATTGAGTTACAGTAGGATAAATCCCAAATGAGCATCTTAAAGTCAACAATTATGCTGAAGTTACAATACAGCTGTAAACAGTCTAGATTTAAAAATGAAAAATGAATTGCAACACATCACACTCAGAAAGGCACTGAACTTTTATAAACTCTACGTGGCAGCAAAAGCCTTCTCTGAACAGGAGTACATGAGATCCTCATGGTATGCATTTGGTTACTTTTTGCATTGAATCAGAGCTGTATCCATAGCTCTCCAAACACAAATACGCCATAAAAGTGAGTTTTTCTGGATAATGGTCACTATACTGGATACATCTGGTCAGTATTTCTTACAAAAGCATGTGTAATTGTTGTTAATTCATTTTTTTTATACTTATAGTACAGTATGTGTGCTATGAAACAAACCTTACAGACATAATGCAAATGTAATGTGGTGTTAGGATGATGAAAAATGTCTCAGAAACTATATTGTGTGGTGATAACAATTAAGCAACCGATATGACCAGATGAATACCAAGGTTAAGAAGACAACCAAGCACACAAATATCTTAAGACTTCTCATTTTCCAATAAAAAGCATAGCATTAACTAAAGAAACATTAACCTGAAGAACGTCAAAGACAAAAGTCTGAGATTTGTTGAACTGAAAAAGTACAAAACCTTGTAGGGGAGAAGGGAAGGCTAATTCATTCTCATGAATCAGTGATATCTGTTGAAACTGAATGAATGAGATTACAGTGATATTTAAAAACATGTAAATCATGAGACTGCAAATAAGGTAGCTTCTTATGATACATTAATGTCAACATCACAGTCATCCTAAGCAAAAAACATTATGAAAATTTGGATTTAATAGACAAAGTGCATAGAACACAATATATGTAATTGAAAAAATTATATAAATTTCAATTTGATTAGACTAAGTACAATAATGAAAAAATATTATTTATATTATTTTAAGACATTCCTTCTCTCATTGAGAAGACTCAGTTAGAACTTCAATAGCTGAAATAGTAAAAATGTGTTTTCCATGTGAATGTGAACATTTATCACATGCACATTTAAATCATTGTATTTCATTTTTGCAATATAGAAAGAGACCATTCTTTATTTGACTGGATTACAGGAGTGTTAGACTAGTAGGGAATACACAAAACCTGTTATCATCAGAAAGGTCTTTCCTCATAGAGAAGGATGTAAAACTAATGATGGTGCATATTCTAAAAAGACTTGCTTACTAAAAGCAGCTTTCACCTTCTTTAACCTAGCAATGTACATATGAGAAAATCACCATATGGCGCTTAATGTGAGAACAGCAAAAAATTCTTCTAGGGAAGAAATTAGCTGGTCTACTTATTAATGCCTGTTTTTCACTTTTCACTAGTAAGGGAGTCTCAATAACTGGAAGTAAACATCTGCTTCCAGCAAGATGAATACTGTCCTAGGATTTTCTCAGATATCTCCTGGTACCCAATGCTACTGATAGTTTACAAAAGCTATAAAGGTCCTTGTTAATGATAAATAAATAAATAAATAATCTAATATATGTATATATACAGTAGGGAAGAGTTGGTGTTTAGAACAGTGGAAGTATGGATTGGCAAAGGGGTTTTACAGCATTAAATTGCATTGTGTTATACAGGGGCAGTAACATTGTTTTATTTTAGTTCTTTGTAGCAGACCCTACCTTCTGTGGGGTGTGACAATGTCTACAAAAACTACTGCCATCATTCCTATGCAATACACATAATTACATCTTATGGTGAATAAACAGGTAGAAAGTTTTGAGGCAGAATATAATAAAGGAGAACAAACAAAACCTCTAAGATTTGATTAGTATGCAAGAGTTCATGACCTGGTGGAAGTGTTGCAACAATTCATAGATAATATAATGAAGACATTACATGCTACAGACACTAATGAAAGACTGAAGAAATGAACTGAAAATATTTCCTTTTTTTCTTTCTTCTTAGCTAATTGTCACTGATGTCTCTTATACAGAAAGCATTATTTAACTGGCCTTGGGATCATGCCTTCAGTATTTTCTGCTATAACAAAAGCACACAATTCCAATAATGGAATACCAAGTCACTAGATTACAAATCACTACATCAGTGTTGAAGGTCAAATGGACAATGTATACTTCAGTCCTTCAGTACAGTGAACAGAGTTTGACAGCTTCATAAATATCTGTGAATTAGTGTTATCTGATTAGACCTCATGTAGGATCCATTCATCTTTCTTTCATTTGGTGGTTTGTGGGGTCTTTCTTTCTTTCTTTTAACTTTTCTGGTTTTTTTAAGTATATGAGTTTTATCTGAAGGAAATTACAAAACAAGTTCTCTCTATTACAGACTCTGAATATGAAGTTATCACTCACAGGAAGCCCATTTTTGTAATGTTCATTTTTTATTGTATGGTAACTTTGTAATAATGTACTTTTCAGAGGTGAAAATCTCATTTTTAAGCCCAGTTGAGGTTTTATATTGAAAACTGCAATACATCAAACAAATGTACATTATCTCTCAAAGGAACCATGGAAGCCTCAAGTTCTTGCATTGTAAACTCTGATATAGAATTGAAAGAAATTTTTCTAGCTGAAAAAAAATAGTGAAAAGTTAACAGTAACAGAAATATAGCTTTTCACTCAAAAGCTTACACATACCCTCCCCCCCTCCCATTTTTATAATTGTCAGTATTATTCTTAGAACAAATTCAGGTTTTAGAATAATCTCAGCACTCAATTTCTACGAGAAAGTACTTTCCAACACTATTTTCACATTTTTCCCTCTAACATTCAAATTAGTTGGTGATATTAGTAGTAGGGCTGTGCACTGAGGGGAGAAATGAAGGCAAAGGGAGCATGAACTGTACCATGGGAAATCTTAATGCTTGCCACTCGCT